ATGTCTAAATTCTGTCGAAATAATAGTTTACCGTTTTACGTTATATATTTACTTGTATTTCGTAAGATATTTCACTATAAGAGTTTAAACCTTATATATATTTATCACATCAGTTATAAACATAATATATATATATATATATATATATATATTATATCTACAAATTCTGGGCTTATGATAAAAAATTATACTGCAGAATACGTTTTATCATTAATATCAATTGAGTTGTTTGGCCAGAAAGTCATGAGTTCACTTTAGAAGTCTCGTTAGAAGTATAGAATACTGTAATCAAAGTTTCATTCTATAAACTCAACGTTTTATAACGATGAAACAGTCTACCGTCGTAACCGTTTGATTGGCGTCTCCAGCACCAGCATTAGCACGCAGTTTCTACTGTAAATGCCCGACATAACTAGAGCACCAGGCGGTGTTAATGTCTGGCTGTACGGACTACGCTCAACAGCGCTATTTGGAGACAGTGCATCTTAACTACCTTCCCGCCGTCTGGCATAAAATATGTATAATGATGATTAGAAAAGAATCACACAAAGGTGTTTAAAGCAAAAGTAATAAAAAAAAAATCCACGTGGTTATAAGTCGTTACAAAATAAGTCCAGAGTACGTTAATAAATGATCTTCAGCTATTACGAACTTGGCTCCAAGTAATACACCAAACAAAGTATTCAGATCTCTGTTGGGATATATTGTTTTTGTATAGCATTCACGAGCACTTTTATGTGAAAAATAAGTAACAAAAATCGAAAATATTTTCATATATAAGCTGTTGTTTTGACTAATATTACCTTTTAAATGGAGTTTTTATTTTATCAATACTTTGAGCTTATATGCATGAAGGTTTTATTTGCAGTAACATACTTTAGTGATGCGTGAAACAACTTTAAAAATTAGAAGCGCATTCGTCTTTACATTATGTAATCTCCAGTTCTCGATCTCATTGAAAATTTATTCACTAATATATGTACCGCATTTCTTGCTATTGTAATAACATTCTAAAATAGTTTTATTCACTTGTCACATTCAATACTGGAAAACCATTTTGTGAGTCATTACTTTATCTTGTTTATTTTTAACTTAGCTACAGTATGTTTGCACTTTAATAACATTACCTTTTATACAACTGGTAAAAATATTCGATTAATTACATATTTGAATATAGGACGAGTTTTTACCTTATGTAATGTTATACTATCTACTCCGAGTTTAGTTGTTGTTCTGCATATCTGCAGGTTTTCAAATGACACTGAAAGCCATTAAGTTGATTTCGTTCTAAGATATCTTGTTCCTTTGTCGTTCTTGGAATGGATAATGTCCATTACTACATGGGAAGGATTTTGCTTAATACCAGGGTTAGTTAGATGATATCTAGAAGTTATGGTGCCACCTATAGTTTAATGAGAATGACCAGATATGTGGGTAGCGTTAGTCACCCTGGGTAAATGTGAGATTCCTTGGGTGCTAAGGAATTTTACATTTAATCAATTATAGTCTAGATTATCTCTTAACCTGGTCTAGTAATGAAAAGAAAAGGAGGTAGCCTTAAAGAAAGTATCTAATAAAAATGACAGTCTGTCATGTTTATTCAAGCAATTACTACACTGTGTTTGTGTTTAGAGTTCTAAAAAAATATTTGCATTTTGTTTTTCAATTCATGTCCACACTAGTTATTTCATTTTATATAGACTCGGATATTAAGAAATTTAGTATTGCTTCATAATCGATATCATTAAATGAATCTCTTGTCATCTAATGGACTTTATCCAATATAGCTCTAACGTTAATCCAGTTTCACTATCTGTACGAAACTTTGGCTCTGGATTATGGCTTGTTTTGGAGTCACCTGTCCAACACTGCCTCAAAATTAGATATTCCACTTATGTTACATAAATATGATTTATAAGCAAAACATTACTACATATTGTGTCTTATAAAACGCTCTAAACAAAGTAAATTTCAAAGTCAACTTGCATAGACGTTCTTCTAACTTCTTTAGCTTTCCAGAAACTAATATTTGTAATATAGGTCAATAAAGATGTGAACCCTAGTGAAAATAAAGTGTCACGTCTCCGTTCGTTAGTTAATTTTCCGTAAATTCGTTCCGACGAAACTTTAGCGACACAAGTCCTTTCTTAAATAAAACTGGCTTATTCTTTCCGAATACAACTTTACGATACACTTAATTTCAACGGTCGCTCTATAACAAACGCTATAACTCACGTCCAACAATATTTTATCCGCATACATTCAATTACTCATTACCTCTGATCTCCCGTCACGTTGTGAACGTCTTATATATACAAGACTAACACGTATCTAGTAAATGCTAGGGCATTCTTGATGTTTCTAGGATATTTCTAGAAACAGGTGGCGTGATACCAGTCACGTGACCTCGCTGACGCAACAAAAGAATAACTACTGATCGTGTAAGTGATAGAACGTACTAAATTAAGTCAATTTATAAAAGCACAGGAATGGTTAAAAATGCAGGTATAAAATATGTGGGTATAAAAGTACATTCACTATACCTAAAGAAATATAAATTTCCGATTATTGTTAGAATGATGGAATTTGACAATTTTCGAAATTATTGTTCTCAGCTAGTCATGGTACAGAATTTGGTGACTTTAATGAGCTTATTTGTTTTTATTTTACTATTCAACAGTAGTAAAAACCCAAGTGCTAAATTTAACTTAAAAAATGAATAGCCTGAAATTCTCTTCTGGAATGAAAGGACTTAAACGTAAGTATGTACATACACTTAGGTTAACTACACTAAGCCAACTTACAAATTAAAAGCGTATAAAATTTCATTAAGTGACCTATAGCTGGCCCAATGAAATTTGATGTTTCTTAACACTGTATTTCTACAAGGCCATTTACTTTTTGTTTTTAAATCTTATTGAATTATAACTGTTCTAATATTATAATTTATCCTATCGATGGAGAAAAAAATTAATGTGTAAATTTAAAAGTTAGAAAGGTGAAAAACTTCAAAATCTCTTTTGAAATAAAGAGTGTATAAATATACATACATACAGACTTAATCAATCAGGAAGTATCACTATTTAAAACTTATTCCATTTGTCACTCTCTCGAGCACACTTTCACGGTCCGTTTTTGGTAATGTTCAACAATATACATTGTCACTTAGCAAAGAAACTGATTGTTCTTAGGACAACTATAGTGTTTTGGTTGAATGCTCAATATTCGTGTTGATTTATTAGAAAGATTTGTTTTATATTCTTTTTATTTTCGATAAGTTTGGTGATATAATAGCAAAATAGTTTAATTCAAAAGTTTTATGAAT